ATATCTGCCAAGTGACCCTATGTAAAAAAGGCCTGATGAGATGTGCTGCCTTGGGCTAAAAATGGTCCACACGCTGCTGTATTTTAGCTCTGAATGCCTGTTGACTTGCGTGACTTATCCGCCACCAACTTGTGTTCAAGCCGCCAGTGTGTACTTTATAAATGGCTTTATAAAGCAGTGTGTACTTTATAAATGGCTCCACCTGCCACCCGTACAGCAACACAGTCTCCAGTTAGGGGGACCAACCAAGCATCTTCTTCCATCTGCCTGTTACAGAAATTACTGCCGTGTACACGACCACTGATAGGAGACGCGGAAGGTATTAAACTGATAAAAATAGTACTAAACACACCACTCCTATCTGGTGTCACATTAGCTTGACCGAGCAGTGCCCCAAATTTGCAGTAAGAGGACCGACCAAGCCTCTTCTTCCATCTCCCTGTTACCAAAATCAATGCCGTGTACACGTCCACTGATAGGAGACGCGGAAGGTATTAAACTGATAAAAATAGTACTAAACACACCACTCCTATCTGGTGTCACATTAGCTTGACCACGCAGTGCCCCAAATTTAATGTGATCTGTGAGTAAGGTAAACGGTTGTCCATACAAGTAGGTTGCAGCTTTTTGAGGGCCCACACCACCGCCATGCACTTCTTTTCAATGGCAGTGAATATACTTGGCTGTGCAAAAGTTTACGGCTTAGATAAAAATCAATGCCGTGTACACGTCCACTGATAGGAGACGCGGAAGGTATTAAACTGATCAGAACAATACTAAACACACCACTCCTTTTTTTGGTGAGGCTTTACAGGACAAAGTGCTTCTCCACGGGACATGTTAACTCACGGGCAGCTGGCTCATCAAGGAACCAGAGCAGCTTTCCATGTACAGGTAAGATACGTGCAGCCGGTAAGGGTTCAGGCTCTTCTTCCTGGAGGATACGCTGCAAGCCTGTTGAACGAGGTGACCTTGCTTTCGAGTCCCAATTATGCGGTTCCTAGTAAACTGCGCCATATACGTCCACTGATAGGAGCGGAAGGTATTAAACTGATCAAGAACAATACTAGCACACCACAAATACTCTCTCTCCTGTATGGCTCCTCAAATGATGCTTAAGATTAGAAGCGGCTGAAAAGCATTTCTCACACTCCGAACAAAAATATATTTTTAACATTCTCTCCACTTTGAACGAAATGACGTTTGGGAAGAGATTAACATAATTAAACACAGGCAGTAAAAATACAGTTTTTAGCCATACCCTGTAACTTTAAAACTACACATCCCATCTTCATAATTACATATTTGGAATCAGCACACTTAAAACATAAACATAACAAAAAATAAGCAAAATCAATCAGGGTTAAAAGTTAGCTGGAGGGTCCCTTTATGACCATGAAGCACATTTTCCTGCCCAAAACAAGTTCCATGGAATTTGGGCTGTGAGGTGGAATCTATTTCAATTGAAAAAAGAGCTAAGTCCCATCGCCAGTGGGACTTGGTCTCACAACTAATAAGGCTGAAAAAGCTTGACTGAAAAAACGACTAAGTGTCTCTGCAGCTGAAATAATTTCCCATTTACTGAACCAAGTGGGAAATAGCAAGGCAGGCACAAAGGGTTTGCACCAGGTCTGGGGACACAGGGGACACCGTCTTAAAGGGGCCGTGTCCCCAACAAGTCTGGGGACACGGCCTTAAAGGGCAGTGTCCCAATCTTCCTGATGTCCCAAAAAAGGTGTTTAAAGGGCCAGCACCAGTCACATAAAGAGTCCATAAGCCCCAATATGCCCACCGACAGTCTTAAAGGGCCATACACACCAAATAAAAGTGCATACATTTTCACAATCTCCCAGGGGCCATAGTCATGCGGGAGGAGGCTGGCAAATAGGCTTCTCCACAACCCAGGGAAGCAGGGCAATTTGCCATTTAAAGGGCCCGTACAAATAGCAGTTTGTAACAAGGTGTCAATCCATATCTGCCAAGTGATCTTATGTAGGGACCAGTCCCTATTCTGCTCTGTGTCAGTGTGTATCAGGGAACCTTAGGACAGGTGTCAATCCATATCTGCCAAGTGACCCTATGCAGGGGAACAGTCCCTATTCTGCTCTGTGTGTCAGTGTGTATCAGGGATCCTTAGACAGGTGTCAATCCATATCTGCCAAGTGACCCTATGTAGGGGACCAGTCTCTATTCTGCTCTGTGTCCGTGTGCATCAGGGGCTCTGAGGACAGGTGTCAATCCATATGTCAAGGTGTCAATATGTCATATGTCAGGTGTCAATCCATATTGATTGTGATTTAGGAATGTTAGGTGATTTCTGCCCTTTATGGATTAAAACCAGACTCTGTATCAACTGTGTAATTTTCCATGGGAGTTTTGCCATGGATCCCCCTCCGGCATGCCACAGTCCAGGTGTTAGTCCCCTTGAAACAACTTTTCCATCCCTGTTGTGGCCAGAAAGAGTCCCTGTGTGTTTTAAAATTCGCCTCCCCATTGAAGTCAATGGCGTTTCGGGCAGTTCGCCGGTTCGCGAACATTTGCGGAAGTTCGCGTTCGCCGTTCGCGAACCGAAAATTTCGGGTTTGCGACATCACTAATTATATCCTTGAACATTCTGTTTTTGCAAGTATGCATCTAGTAGCTGTTTGAACATCTATATGGCCGTTTGATCTGTATGGACTCTGATAAAACCACTTCTTCAGGCATAGAATTCCACATCCTTATTGTTCTTACAGTAAAAAACCTTTCCTTTGCCTTAGACAAAATCTTCTTTCTTCCAGTCTAAACGCATGACCTTGTGTCCTAAGTAAAGTCCGGTTTGTGAATAGATTTCCACACAATGGTTTGTATTGGCCCCGAATATATTTTTATAATGTTATTATATCCCCTCTCAAGCGACGTTTTTCTAAACTAATTAGGTTTAAATTTGTTAACCTTTCTTCATAGTTGATATGTTCCATTCCTTTTATTAATTTTGTAGCCCGCCTCTGCACTTTTTCTAGTGCCATAATATCCTTCTTTAGAACAGGTGCCCAAAATTGCATAGCATATTCAATATGTGGTCTTACCAGTGATTTATAAAGAGGCAAAATGATATTCTCGTCCCGAGAATGAATGCCCTTTTTCATGCATGACAATACCTTGGCCACTGCTGATTGACATTGCACATTGTTACATAGTTTGTTGTCTATAACAATTCCCAAGTCCTTTTCGTGTGTTGTTATCCCTAATTCGCTTCCATTAAGGGTAAGCGTTGCTTGTGTATTCTTTACGCTGAAGTGCATAACTTTGCATTTTTCAACATGTGACGCGGAAATGATACCAAATGTCATGTGACGCATTGAAATGTATGATAACATGTAAAATAAGCCTTGTTTTTAAACAAAAGTTAATTACATAGAAGCATCAATTAGATTATTGTCGTAAGATAGGTATGTAAACTTTTTACACTCTCTATTAAAATGTTGTTATTAACTCGCCCACATGACGTCATTTTGGCGCCAAAATTCAGTAATTTGTATGTAATTAGTCCCCTATATAAACAAAGACATGTCAGGTTGATTATTTAATTTGATTATTCTACTTGATAAAGCATTGCAAGGTTATTTTAATTTTTTTAATAATACTCTCTATACCTGGCATCCTGATATTACCATCCCAAGCGAGGACCAAAGAATCCTAGCAGTAAGCGCCCTCTTCATCGAGCAGTAAGTATAATTTTTATAACTATTTTATACAGTGAGCACTATATCTGATACCTTTTCTTTTTCCCGTTCCAGAATTGCTAACACTGGAAATCTTTGGAAAAACTATCTACCACACATATCCTAGAAGTGTGGATCATTCCACTTCACGCTATACACACCAGAGCTGGACATAGCTCTGGTAAATGTGAGTAGAATAATACCCATCCATCACTATATATATCTCATTATATACTGTACCATTGGAGTCTCTCCTCTCATGTCTTGCATGTACCTCTGGAATTACAAGAACCAAACTGTCAAGAACGTCTGACTCTGTCAAGCTGGCTGTTCTCTTTAAGACTTTAATTATATCTTTTACTTTTTAATTCATTTTTTTATTTGCATTTTAATTGTTTTATTGGATATTTTATCTTTGTTATTATTTTAGAATATTCCAATTTGTACAAGGCCCACACTTACTCCTTTGCATCTCTTTCTTTGTAAAAGGCATCGTAGTATTAAGGCATTATAGCATAATGCCCCACAGTTTAAAGACATCACAGCTTAAATGCCCCTCAGAATAAATGCATCACAGTATAAAAACACAACTGCACAATGTACCACAGTTTAAATATATTACAGTGAATTATGCCAGTGAATTACAAGACACAGATGCATAAAGCACCCCAGTTTGAAAGCACCCTAATATAAAAAGGCACCACAGAATAAAGGCTCCCTAAAATAGCAAAAACAAATAAAGTAATGAAGAGAAAAAGCATACATGTCCATAAGTAAAGGGAGCAAATTGCTCACATCCTAAGGACTGTAGGACAGGAAAAAGATTGAGGACCTTAGGAATGGAGCCTCCTTTTCAAGCCTTTGGTGTTTTTCCTGTCCTAATGGCTGTAAGGGGCAGAGCTAACCAATGATGTATATGCTGCCATGATTAGCCCAATTTTTTTTTTAAGTTTGTTGACATAGCATTGGGAATTTATAGAAACTTGGTATGAAATGACAAGCAAAAATATTTTCTTTCCCCATTCATAAAACAGTGTAACTCAATGGCTTGTGCTTCTAAAATTTTGTTAAATATTGATATGGGGGTGGGAACGAACAGCCGAGCAAGTTAGACACAGGCAAGGTGAGTTCCTAAGCACGTTTTGGATTTTAGCATATAGAACCCAATTCTTTTTTTTTTGTTGACATTTTTCCTCAAGGCAAACACTTCCGCATGCTATATACTACATGAGAAGCTGTTTTTGGAAGTTTAGCTGGGCATTTCTGGGTCCTACTATGTCTAGAAGGGCATGTGAAGTGGCTAATCTCCCGTCCTCGAATCACACACAGTGCTGGTCAACCCCCTTCCTTTTTGCCGGCAGTGGTTATCCTGCTTATATCATAAACAGGGCCAGCCTTAGACCTTTAGGCTCCCTATGCAAAAATATTTCACAGCAGCCCTCCCTGGTCACACCCGCTCATCCATGTATAGTTTATGTATAAGTATGTAGTGTTTGTATAAGTGTATTTAATTCAGATTTAAAAAAAAAATGCATGTAGGCCCATATGTGAATGCTAGTGTGTATTTTTGCAGTCTCACATGCACACAGTCCCAGAGTCAAACACACAGTTATACACATATACTGTCAAATATAGCAAGATGCACATAGTCCCAGGTGCATAGCACCCAGTAACACACAGACAGTCACACAAAGTTACAAGCAGACAGTCACACACACAGTTACAGGCAGAAAGTCACCTCTTCAATGGCTGCACAGCCAACAACACCAGTGAAAAAATTTTTATGAAGTATTTCAAATTATATTTGCCGTTTCCACACTAAAAATTTAGATATAAAAGACTCTTTTCAATCTTCATAGAAATATCAAAATATACATAGAAATATCTACAAATAAACAGAAGACCACATATAGTGTAAAATATATATGGAATATTGCTCTCCAAAACAGTTAATTGATTGCAGGTATATCGCCCAAAAATGGATACATCCTTCTTCCTCCTCAACTTCCAAATCAACAGTACATGTAGGGAAGAAAGGAAAGTAGTCACATAGTGCAAATCCTTAAAATAACACATTCATTTAATATGCATATCACATACAAGATTAAAAAGAGTATGAGCATATCTCCAATTAAAACTGGACCAAAGATCTGCAGAGATCTATTATCAGTCTTATTTTTTTATTTTTTTTAATATTGCTTTCTCTTATGATTTTCTGCTTCTATAACTGGAGTCCCTGATTACATTAACCCAGTCATGCTTCTCAGAGCCATTACCCTGTTACTACATAATTTTGAATAGGCTGTTTAGGACATAGTTGTGTTCACTCTGCATTATACTCTACTTATTTACCCATATCTATCAATCATTAGACTTCTATTGACTTGAAGGTCTATTTATTTTCTTTTTGTTGACCCTATGCGAATAGTGATCCTAGCCCTGATACTCTGAAGTCTCTTAGACCATCTCTTATAATGCAAGTTATGTATAAGCATATATTCTTCTTATTCTAAGCTGCTCTTGCCTTTGGAATATCTTTATCCACAGTAATCTCATATTTAAAGGACCACTGTAGGCACCCAGACCACTTCAACTTAATTAAGTGGTCTGGGGGCCAGGTCCATCTAGGGTTAACCCTGCTTGCTGTAAACATAGCAGTTTCAGAGAAACTGCTATGTTTACATTAGGGTTAATCCAACCTCTAGTGGCTGTCTCATTGACAGCCGCTAGAGGCGCTTCTCACTATGAGAAGACGCCAGAGTCTATAGGAAAGCATTGAGAATGCTTTCCTATGGACTGACTGAATGCACGCGCGGCTCTTGCTGCACATGCACATTCAGCCAATGACGTCGGGAGGAGGAGGAGAGTAGGTAAGTGTTTAACCCCTTCCTCTCCATAGAGCCTCGCGGGAGGGGGGCCATGAGGGTGGGGGGGCACTATAGTGGTCCTTTAATCATAAAATAAGGTGTTCATAATCTGAAAGATTATGTTACAGTATTGATGTTCTGCCTTAATTTTGCTTGTAATGTATAACTCATGAATATCTAAAAAAAAAAAAAAGTAATTGCTAAAAAAAAACTACAAATAAATAAATATTACTATATTATGATGAATCTGAATTTGTAATGTTTGAGATACATGAGAGACTTTCATAAGACATCACATAGAAAACCCATAGGCCCCCTAATATATTGCATGACAGTGTCCTTGAAGACACCATACATAGAAGGCATGTGATAGATGTTATTGTCACTGCATAGCCTGCCGATTTAATCCCAAGAACATTTATTTTTTCCATAGCAATGCCACCTGAGAGATATTTAAGATACAATGATTAATCACCTGTAGTAGAGAGTGTGGATGGCATGTTGTAGTTTAGCTGTGGGAATAGACATATGGAAAAAACTGCTCATCCATTGGGATTAGGATGCTCAATAGGAAATATCTAGAACAGAAGCACACAGCTACTGCATGTAATGGGAAGTAATAATAATAATAATAATAATAATAATAATAATGATTATTATTCTGGATCCACAAGGAAAAAAAAGAGAAAATAATATGGAATTAATGATGATTTATATATCATATTTAGATGTTTCCTTCCCAGTGGATGGTACACATTGGATATCTTTCTGATATTTTGCTTTATTATTGTAATTTGTTTTTGTTGCTAATTTGGATTTTTATTTTAATGTCTATGTTTGTATATTTTTACTTAAAAGATGTTAGATACACTCTATGTAATCATTATACTGGAAACAAAGCATATTTAGTATTCTTACAAAATTGTATACAGCATGTTAGACCAGGAGTGGAACTACTGGCGGTGCAGCCAGTAATGCTTGCTGACATCATGGGGCCCTTCCTGGCCTATCACCACCTTTACTTTACACAAAACAGAAGGAGGCAGGGCTGCAGGGTGGTTCACTTGGATCTGGGTAGACATTTGAAGTGCACACCGCTGGATGGAGAGCTGGACTTAGAATGTGGGGGTTTGCATCTATGTATGTGTGTCTGTGCATGTTTGTCAATGTTTGTGTTTCAGTGTGTGGTAGTGTGCATATGTAAGTATGGATGAGAATGTGAATGTAAAAGTGAATAAATGCCTGCATGCAGTGGCTGCTCTAGACATTGTGAGGCCTTAGGGAAAACTCAAACATCAGGCTCCCCCTAACACCCAAAGTAAAAAAAAATAAAAAAAATAGAGGTTGCATTTTGTGTATAAGCTGCTGTAGTTATATTGAAGGACCGGCTTGCAGCGCTGGATATTGTGAGTTAGTCTTTGTGTTGTTCAGAGGCTTGCAGTGTCACGGCTCCCTGTGTCGCTGCATTGTGAGCTCTCTGAGTGTAGTTATGGCATAATTTGCAAACTAAATTATTTAGCAATAAACAAATTTAATTAGTAAGTATGCTAATCGTTTATACACAGATACTGTGGGGTATGGTTACATAGCCTTGCCGTTGTACATAAGTGCCGATGTGTGTATTTCTGAGTGTCTCTGGCATTGTCTACATGTGTATGTGCCTGAAAGTGTGTGTCTGACAAAGGGTATCCTTGTGTGTGAATGTATGTCTTTGTAAACATGTGTCCGGGACCGTATGTGTGTGGGGTAGCATCTTGCGGTGTTGTG